GTATCAGCAGTGTAAGGATTTAAATATATTAACGTGTTGTGACCAGATCTGGGTCTTAATTTTTGTGCCTGCCACGAGCGGTATCAGCTCTGGAGCTGAAAAAAAAACCTGTCGTATTTTTTTTTCCTGTGTATATAGCTCTTCTGTTTCAACTCCTGTGAAAAAAAAAAAAAAAACCCCAAAACTAACATAAAACCAGATATCTAAGTCCTGTAAATTCCTGAGTGCATGTTGATGTCACCTTCTGGTTCTGAAGAATGAGCGTGGATGGGAGAAATGTGAACACATCTTCCTTGTCTTGCTGATGAGCCGGTTGCACGCACCCCCCCCACCCTTTCCACCCCCCCTCTTCCCCTGACTTTCAGACCCAGCAACATATAATTACTGCCAAATGACTTTCAGCTCCAGATTGTGCAGCTGGGATCAGTGATTACAATTGGAAGCAAATAAAGGATTTGTTCCTCGGTGTTTGCACTAGGGAGAATCATTACCTTTCCAGATCGTTTTAGTTGAGTTAAAGATAGTTTCCTTGCAGCATTTACATATTTTTAAACTTAACGATGATGAAAGGTTGGGGGAATGACCTCTCTCCCCTCAGGTTGACTTATCATTCCTCCAAGCAATAAAAAAAAAAAGGTGTATACCAGCAATGTGCAGCTCTCTGTTAGGGAATTAGTTACTCAAGGACCCGACCTCATGGAATAGTTAACGGGTGAGGCACAAGTCCAATCTTTATCCTTTCAACTCTAGATGCTGCTGGACAGGGTAAGGCTGATAGGTACTGAGATAATGACATCTGTTTACTCAGAAATGAGTTGGAAAACACCAGCCAGCTCTCTGCTGGATACTGTAGTCATCAGATGGTGGTAGATGAGCTCCTGTTGAACTGGGCTCAATTTGAACCAGAAAGCCAGAGGTGATGGGGTTTGGTTGTTTTTTTCCCCTTTGGAAAACAGAAGATACCGCCTTTCCACTTCCTGTAGCATAGCATGCAGCCTGAAAAAACCTGTTAGTAAAGCTGGAGGAAAGGTAAACTTTCCATTCATGCCCTTTTTTGCTTTAGACAGACATGTTTTATAGCAATAACTGGGCTTTTTCACCAATCTGGTGATGTTAACGTATTGCTGCTCCGCGAAGGGGCTGCAGATGCGAGAAGACACACTTCGACGTGCCATGATCTCTTAAACTGCTTCAGAAAAGCCATGATATCTCTGTTTAATGTGTTGAAACATCCTCTTCACCTCTGTTAAGATGAGGTATCCAGTGAACACTGTGATCACTTGTAACCCTGAGAGATCCTGTGTGAAGATTCATTTAATTGCCGGCGTCTTGGTGAAATTCTGCGGCAAAGTGTCCAGCCAAAAAGGCAATTCCTGTCTTAAATGATTGTGTAATATTGCTGTGCCAAATTAAACAGCTGCTGCATATAATCTGCCGAGCAGCTGAGGCTGCTCAGACTCTTTGAGTCTAGAAGTGCAGCATGAATTTAGGAAGGTGATGGGATGGCTTCATTAGTGTCCCGAGTTTTCCATTACAGTGGCAAACACCTGCCCTCTTTTCTGTGTTAATCTTGGTGCAGGTGTTCTGGAAAATAGCTGGAACAGAGATTAATATTCTTGACCATGTCCAGGTCACTCTGAAGCCTTTTTATCTTCGTGTCCAACAGGCATTTTCTAAGTTGTTTTCATTAATAGGTGGGCACCAAGTTTGACTTGGTGGGCTGTAGACCTAGAGTTTCTGTGTCACCTTAGGAGTTCAGATCCTTCAACTTATTTATCAACTGATCAAAGCTTTGCTTAATTCTTCTTATATCATGTAGGTTTGGAGGCATGAATGACTCTTCCCTTAAATAAAATAAAATAAAAAGCTCTGCTTTCAGCCTGAGCCACTTTTGTTGTGTAAATGAATAAATGAATGAAATTCTTCCCTCTCTTCCTCCCCAATCTTTCCAGGTCGAATCAAGTATTCAGAGCGAGTGTACGATGCGTGTATGGATACATTTGACTGTCTTCCTCTTGCTGCCCTCTTAAACCAGCAATTTCTGTGTGTTCATGGAGGACTGTCTCCAGAAATCACGTGTCTAGATGACATTAGGAAAGTAAGTAACCTCCGGCGTCCTTTCACATAGCTTACAATTAACAGTGGGGTTAATGACTTGTTTGATTCATGCATAGAGTTCCAGGTTGTGGCTCCTGTGCTCTTTGTGTCCACACTGTAGATTTTCCCAGCATTGTCCTGATTTTCTGTATGTTTTTCAGTTAGACAGGTTTAAGGAGCCTCCAGCCTTTGGTCCAATGTGTGACTTGCTCTGGTCTGATCCATCAGAAGATTATGGCAGTGAAAAAATTCTGGAGCATTTCTCCCACAACACTGTTCGAGGCTGCTCGTATTTCTACAGGTAAGTGGTGTTTTAGGGGCTTCTGATGGACTAGAGCTTTTTGTCTCCCCTTAAACTAAGGTGTCTGGGTAGATAAATTGCTATTTGGATCACTCTGGGGGACTTTACAGCTGTACCTGGCTCTGGAATAGTCTTCAGTTGGCTCTAATGCACACAATCTTGTTTGTTTTCCTTCTCTTATCATACTGAGCTCTCTTTGGATATGTTGCTCTGTGAAATTGTGGTATCAGACAGCAGAAACGCTTCTTTCAGTTGGCACGGTGCCTTTGGAGTGGTTTTTAGGCACTGGACAGTACCAAGAGCTCTAGGAAATAATCTTTTCCTGTTTAAAAGAGAAACATTTGTGCTGACAGACCACTTGTAGCCCAGCTGATAGGAGGGAAGATTTGGCACCAGGGGTCTGTTTAACTGAATGCTTTGCAATTCATTTTTGAAATGATGTAATACACCCTGGCCTTGTTTGGGGATGCTGGACACAAACCTGCAAGTGGCTGGTTCCTTGTGTGGGTGCTGTCTGTTCTCCTGTGCTAGGTGCTAATGTATCTTTTGCTTTTTGCTTTCCAGTTATCCTGCAGTTTGTGAATTTTTGCAGAACAATAGTTTGTTATCTGTAATCCGTGCTCACGAAGCCCAGGACGCTGGGTAAGTCCTGCAGCCTGGTCACTGAGCAGGCTCCCTCTCCTCTCCTGCTCTCCTGAGCATGACCAGTTTGTTTTAACACTTGACCTGTTTTTTTTGCAGGTACCGAATGTACAGGAAGAGCCAGACAACAGGCTTTCCATCATTAATCACAATCTTCTCTGCACCAAATTACCTAGATGTCTATAACAACAAGGGTAAGGCTGGCAAGGCTGAGTCTCTGCTGCTGTTTGGACATCTCCATATGCTTAGGGAATCCCTCTCCATCTTCCCTTGCTCACTCTGCCCTCTTTTTTAGTTGCATTCTTATGCATGAAATAAAAACAAAGAGGTTTATATGCTAAACTGAGGGCAGCTGGAAGTGACTGGTTCTCTGACTCGGAGATTTAATGTATAATTGTGGCAATTAGCTGTCAAGTTATAAAGCCTGGAAGAACACTTTCGTTTCCAGCCACGTGACAACTAAGAGCTGTTGATGAATGCTGCCATAAAAGAGAAGCTGTTAGTATAGGCAAGCTTTTAACTTCTCTGTGCCCCTAAAACCATATGAGTATGATGGGGAACTTTCCTCAGCTGTGGGGTTTTTACCCCTCACTCTGGATCTTGGCTCTGTGTTCATCACTTCCAATTTCCAGACATTTTAACAGCTTTAGTTAAATGGATCTTCACTGTTGTGATAAGTTTTAGTGAGACAGCATAATGGGTAAATGGAACAAAATATTGCTTAAACCATCTCATTTTGGAGAACTGGTAGTTGGATTCTGTGTGAGTGCAACCTCTTGTTGATAACCAAGATTCCTTGGTGCAGCTACAACTCCCAGAAGCTGACAGTGCCTATGGACATTCATTGTCTTTCCTTTTTCTCTCCTAGCTGCTGTCCTGAAATATGAAAACAACGTCATGAACATCAGGCAGTTCAACTGTTCCCCTCATCCCTACTGGCTTCCAAACTTCATGGATGTCTTCACATGGTCTTTGCCTTTTGTAGGGGAAAAAGGTAAGAGAGATTTGGATTTCTGTTATTGAGTTGCCCAGTGCCTGAGTGTTAGAAACCTGTCCCACAGGCTATTAAATGTGTTGGGAGAGTGTTGTAACTCATTAATACCAGATAGCACTGGAAAGCAGTTCAGGTTCAAGGAGATCTACATAATTACTGGGTAAAGTTCTTGTGAAAATAATTGTTGATACATGTTTTAGAAAGCTTTTACCAATAAAACAATCCATTCTTGCTATTTCTGCATTGCTGATGGGGCTGATACAGCCCCACCTCAGAATTTGGAGATATTTCTTTTTGCTCTGGGTTTGCAACAGAGAAATTAAAGTCTCTTGTTGGCTTGCAGCCCACCAAAAAGGAAGCATTCACTTCATTTTAAAGGCTTATTTCATTCAGAGGCGAGGCAGCTTAAAATATGACCAAGACTTTGCCTCAGTTTTTCAGCAGAAGGGTTTTTACATCTCCTGCTGTCCTGCTGAATTTAAATTCCACCTCAGCGTTCGATGTTTGGAGTATGACTTCAAGGTCTGACATACCAAAGCTTGTTTTTTGGGGGTTTTTTTGACTTTGAGGAACCAAAGGTTGAATTCCCCCCCCAGATTTTACATTCTTGGAGCCAGGTGGCCTGTTATGCAGGGGTTGGGTTGGGAAGGTGGGACCTTCAGCGAGCCCAGGCTGTTCTGCATGAATGTTGGCACCCCATTCCCCACGTCTGTTTCATCTGTGATGTGCTTGGACTGCATCCTCCTCCTTGGCAGAAGGTGTAAAGTATGTCGTCTGCTCTGGGTACTGCTGTGAGGTACCAGCAGTATGCAGCTAAAAGTGTCTTTGGGCTTCCACTTCTAGAGTAAAAATGACCTTGAAATCATTTGCTTGTCCAGCTCGTCCTCCAAATACCTCTGTCTGCCAAGCTTGTGCACCAGGCCCCTCTAATCTTCCTGTCTGTGCTTCTTACAGTCACAGAAATGCTCGTTAACATCCTCAACATATGCTCCGATGATGAGTTGATTTCAGATGGTGATGAGACATTGGAAGGTAAAAAAAAAAATGCTGTTATGACCGAGCTGGGAGCAGTTGGGGGGTGAAGGTGGGGAAGGTGTATGCTGCTAGTTCACAGAGTGATCAGCACTTGATTTATAGAATCATAGAATGGTTTGGGTGGGAAGGGACCTTAAAGCTCATCCAGTCCCAATCCCCCTGCCATCAGCAGGGACACCTTCCACTAGACCAGGTTGCTCAAAGGCCTTCAACACTTCCAGGGAGGGGGCATCTACAACTTCCTTGGGCAACCTGTTCCAGTGTCTCACCACCCTCACAGTGAAGAACTTCTTCCTAATATCTCATCTAATCCTCCCCTCTTTCAGTTTAAACCCATTTCCCCTTGTTTTATCATTAACTGCCCTTATGAAAAGGGCTTCCCCCTATAGCTGGATGCCCAGCCAGGCTCTCCAGTTCCTTTTTGGCCAACCCTTGTGCAGTTCTGGGTAGGAAACTTTTTTTTTTTCCCCTTTTGCTATTCAATCACAGAGAAATTAAATTATATTCACTGTGACAGACGCTTCTTGCAAGCTCCTGTGGAGAATGGTTTCCTGCTCCTTACAGAGACTGCTTCCCAAGTGGCTATTTTTTTCCTCCCAATCCAAAATTTTCTACACCAAAATATCTACCCAGTCTTCTCATCTGTTGCAGTGAACTCCTCTATCAAGTGGCTTCTCATGTCATCCCCCCCCCCCCCCAAAAATAAAGCAGAATGCAGTTTTTTAGCCCTGGTTTTAAACTTTGTATGAGAGGGACAAAACAAATTGCTGAGCTGATCTGCAGTCCCTGTGTCAGGGGGATCGTTTGAGAAAGCTCAGATGCAGAGGTGGGACGTGCAGTGAGGAGTGGGGCTGTGAGCATGCACGGGGGGTGGGTCTGGGGGAGTTGCCTGTATGGATCTGTGTAGGGTGGAGGACAATCAGTCCCACAGAGAAGCAGAACACCACTGTGGTACAATCTCCAGGTCAAGACTTTTAACCCGCTTTTCCCATTGCATTTCGTTTTGTTTTTTGGTTTGGTTTTGGTTTTTGTTTTTTTTTTTTATTTATTTTCTTTCTCCCTCCCATGAAAATTAAATTTGTTTCTTCTATCTCTGTCTTCATCTACTTGTTTCTTGGTGTCTCCTCTCCCTGAAGATCACTACATTTCAAGCTATCAGAAAGGTACCCAGCTAGAATTTGCTACGAGCTTAATTTTCACTGCCTGTGCCACCAGATTCCTCGGAGTGGATTTGAATAGCTGACTAGTTGGGCAGTCTCTTCATCCCCTTTCAGTTTTAACATAAGCAACGTGTGTTTTTTTTTGGTTTATTTTGTTTTATTTTGGTTTTTTTTTTTAACCCTTCTGTGTTCCTCCAGGAACTTAAGAAACGGGGGGGGGGTCACGTTTCTATCTGACTTCTTGAATGCAGCCACTTAGTGCATGGCTGAGCCATCGGTGCATGTTAGACCTCCAGTTTGGCTTCTACTGTCCTAATGTTGTACTTGGGCCACGTGAGGAATCTCAGCTGAGAGGAGATGTATTTGTTACCTCTTTTTTTGTGAATTTTCATTTTGTTTTGGTTTTGGTTTTGTTTTGTTTTCACTTACCCTCCAATGCTTTTCTCACACAGTTGGGTCTCTATAGCAAAAAAAAAAAAGGGGAGTTCACATATCTCACTCTTGTGTTTTATGTGGGGTCAAAGCAGAGTTGCAAGGCTCCCAGCCAACCTGTTCCCTGTGGTCGTTTGGATGCCAAAGCTGATGCTTGTGTGACACTCCTCCCCGCGGCGAGCACAGCCCCGGTGTTCTGCACTGTTCATCAGCAGCACTCAGATTCATCAAGTGTTCTGCCTTGCAAAACTGTGTCTACATGGCTGAGTCATTTGTGTTACATCCTGTGTGTAGTGTGAGCAAACCTGGTGAGCTTCAAACGAGACCAATCTGCTTCTTTTGGTGGTTCTACTCTCTTTTTAGACCTTTTTTTTAAGTCTGTGTGTCATCTCATTGGTGTTTGCTCTTCTCACTGCCATCCTGACCGCCATCCTCTCAGCACTGTTCTCTCAAGAGTGTAGCTGTGAAATCCCTAAACCATTATTTCTTTTCCTGGAGTCAGGCAGGTGCTTCATTATTGACATTACCTGTGCCTGGAAAAAACAGGAAACCTTGAACATGCTGGTGTTTTGTGTTTTTTTTCTCTCTCTCCCTAAGGTGGGACAACAGTCCGTAAAGAGATCATCAGGAATAAGATTAGAGCCATTGGGAAGATGGCACGTGTCTTCTCGGTTCTTCGGTAAGGAAAGCAGCTTGTGATTTGGGACCTGAGTTTCATTTGGGGTCTGGGTAATGGGGGATGTTGGTACAGGGAGCACCAGGCAGGCAGAGTCCTGCTGTGGAAAAATCAGAGGAGACTGGTGCTTCAGAGTACATGGCAAAGGCTTGAGGTGGTGGCCTCTGTATTCCTGGCAGTTTGACTCTTTCATCTCAAGCACTGGCACTTTTGTCAACAGAAATCATAGAAT